TTTTTTCAAGACACTGTAAAGGGTTTTCTATTGAAAACCCCATCGCGGATGAAAATCGTGTTTAGGCGTCGAAACGGACGACTTCCAAAAACAGAAAAAACTTCAATTACCACGTACAGATGAAAGGAGGAATGGTTGGTGAAAAACGTCATCATACCATCAAATGAGTAGAAACTCATGAAGTCATTCCACCATCACTGGTAAAATAAAAAGAAAAAAAACTGCTTCTACCTACTTAATCAAACCATATGATCCTCAAAAAGCGATAGTTGAGAGAAAGTTCTTATGAAGGTCAACGAAAAGTTAGGCAAGAAGTTTCGAAACTCTGTGCGTTATTGAAATAGAAAGTTCCCAATATGGCATACTCGTCTCCTTTATCGGATATGATCTGGTTTGATGCAAAAAAAGTTGTTAGGTTATATCTGATATTGCTGTAAATATACTGAAAACAAAATATATTGAACTAACGACGAGATGTGTTTGCAGACGAGCATCAAGCCGTCAGCATTTGCGTGGGCGAGGAAGTCAGCAAGAAATGCGGTAAGCCTTCGTCTCCGTGCTGCCTCCACCACGGAGGAGACCAGCGACCATACCAGCATAATCATTGCCTCATCCTAGGAAAAGAATTATCAGTGATCTTGAGATTCACGGTCGACAGAATGTTCATTGAAGCCGAAGATATCGAATAAATTAAATAATATGGAAATGCCAGTTGTGATAAAGTGATATATAGATGGAACACAAACGAGGCATTTCATGTTAAGACGAACACACTAATTTGACAAAATATTCTTTCACATGACTCGTTGAAACGCACTGCCCCAATCTCAGCAATTTTTAAATTTGATTTCTTCCCTCGCAACCCAGCTCTTCCAACTTTTGCGTGAAGGGCTCAGCTGTAGTTTGACTAATTTCTTTCTAGTGAATGTGCTGGTCGAGTTGATTCCTCGTGCACTTTTGAGATTGTCGTGCTAAAGCTTTCCCACAAAGACTGGAAAGACCACGATAATCCCAGACGAGGGCTGGTACCAATTTCGCGACCTTGGAGATGGGAAAATTGGTGACCTTAGTGCTAATGATAACGGCATCACTACCACTAAGCAATCGGCCTTCAAATCCTAGCACAGACAACAGACAGATTTTGTCAAAAAAAATGAATATCAGTGCAAGTTTGAATAACGAACAAGAGTTAAGACTAATATGAACACAGCCATCTATAATTCGCTAATGTCTCCACGCTTCAATCCCTTCGCGGTGCGTGTATCCATAGTACACACGATATTGGAGACCGTTATCGCTGGCGAAGAATTTTTTTCTACCTATTAGTACATATTCAAGAGATTGAATCTCGACGGTTTCAATAATGTGATTGCTTCCAAAAAGCTTGTTGTAGCAGCAAAGATAAAATCATATTTCACACTCGTGAGCCTGATTTGTTCGGCTAGAGTACGTGGATGGCTTTTCGCTGGACTTGTGGCAACGATTCCATAGCTCAAATCTCGACGACTTCAATAATGTGATAGTTTCCGAAAGCCCGAGCACTGAAAAAGACAACAAAGTTTCGTCCACAAATAGGGAAATAGTAGAATACGCACAGCTCGAGATCTCTATGAAATTGAGAAGAATTCAGAATCAAGTAACAGAAATATGCGTAATAAGAGCGCCGCCTGTGGCCTGTGAAACGCGATTTTACTTTCATTGCTACTACGCAGCAAGGAAGTTCTTTCAAGACTAGGCATGTTTTGAAATCATCGAAATTTAATCTTTCAAATGATAAGAGCTCTAGAAAAATTGGCCCCGATAAAAAATAAAAGAACCAAATCTTTTCCGACGGCGAAAAAATTGTGGAATAAAGAACGAAAATCGCGCCCCTTTCGAGGTGTTATTGAGACGCTGCGCGCAGCACTATCTGAGAGACGCATTTTCGTTGGTTTTTTCAGAAGTTTTTATTCATAGAAAGGAAAATTTGAAATTTTGCTGGAAAGACTTGATACAGCACACTTTTCTCTACACGACCATATGCTTATGGCGCGTTATCTCCGAGCATGAAAGGTAAAATTATTTTTGCTGTACGAAAATCTTTGCAAGAACCGAACATGGTTCTAAAATCAACATTTCTCAATGCATCAGATAAGTTCTTGAACTCTTATGTTATAATTACCAGAGAACCTATTTTCAAAACAGACGATTATATTCTAGCATGTTTTTCAAAATAAATAGTCGGCAAGAAGGATAAGGTGAAAATTGAAGGGTCAAATCCCACAAAAACGTTTAAGAACTACGACGGCTTCAGTTTATATGACTACATTCGTACCAAAGAAAACTGATAGTGTTAAAAACAGGAACCCCACAAAACTGTGACTGCTATTTCATGGTGAAGAATTTTTGATCTTCATTCAATTTCAGCTCAGTAAAATCAACGACATTCCCCCAAAGCTTTCTATTTGGAAGAGCGACAACGTTTCGGACAGGATTACCTCAAATTGCCTCCAAGATGTGAACACTGAAACGACGCCTGCGTTACAGTGAACATACGATTCCACGTAATGCTTCGCTAATACATATTTTCACACATGAATATGATATTTCAATTCCCAGTACATTTATAATACCTAGTATTTCCATTTTTTGACATTTTCGATAAAGTTTCACATGAAAGGGCATGTAAATTCCTCTGCATATAATAAACAACGAAAAAGATTTTCAACTGAATCAAAACAAAAGCAGCTATAGGTACAACTTTTAGTTAACGGTCGTTAACGAACGCTAGGCTATAAATTTCATTTAGGACTCATAGATGGACGAAAATAAATTCGACGTCTTAGTCTTCTTCGCAGCCGAAGAATCGTATCAGTTGTCTACAGATGTACCTCTTTGGTTATGAGTCCTTGGTACACGTCTGCGAAACAGACAGAGATGAGATTGTGGGGATAATTCACTAGGCGCACATTTCACGCCATACCCGATCTTGGATGACAGAACTACAGCGGGATAGTCTATTTTCCAGAGCGTTCCAGCGCATTACACACTGAAGAAAAATTCAAAAAAAAAACACTAGTATTAATACTACAAATCTGAATAAGAGAGCAATTTTGAATGACATCTAATGATAAGTAGCTCAGATGAAGGTGGAAAACGTGGTAAGAGCCGGAAATTTAACCATGATATTACAGAAAGGGATCAGTCTGTAATGGTACTTTGTTTCACAACGACATGAGTGTTGGGACACATGCGAAACTTAGAATCTGAAGTGAATTCGACTTTCTTTCCTTCATTAAAGTTCCGCATTCTCTCTGAAAATTGAATTTAGAGATATCTCAAAAAAAATCCATGGACTACGAAACGGAAGGACTAGTTCGATTGATAAAGATTTCAGACTCTTCCAATCGAAATGCTTGTTTTTTAGAGCAGACGGTTAAAATTGAAAGACGTGCAGACAGCGGATTGAAGTTGAAAAATCATACAGCGAACTGACAGAAAAACAGCGAATTTCAAACCGACAGAAAAAGAATGCGAACAAAAATTACCTCGACATAAAAGATCAAGCTCATCTAGACAAAAACCATTAACAGTTTAATTTTCTTCCAAGCAAGACTAAAAAGGTAAGCAAATTTGATTAGCATGAAGACTACTTTCGAAACTACTATTTCATCATAAATATCATGATAAGGTTTTGAAGCTCAAAAAACTTAAGAAGTGTTATGAAAAGGTTTCAAGAAAACCGCTTCAACTTCATCATAAGATATTTTTGTTTCAGGGCAAGCTTCAATAATGGAAGCTCATATTCTAGCAAGCAATTCATCTCAAGGTTTATCAGATTAGTACAATAAAAAAAGGGAGCTGTCCAAGTGATCTTCATGGAAGTCGCTTGTAAAATAGATAGACTGAAAGTCACATTTAACACCGAGTCAACGTAAGGAAAAAAGATTCTTGATGTTATATGCTAAGGAGAACCTTAAGCAGCGTACCTCATATGCTCTATAGTGGTCTAAAAGGGACGTTTGGTTGAACTCGACTTATTGAGTAAAAATGGGAAACTCACATTCAAAACGAAATTTCCTCAGATCGCATAAATGGAATTCGAAAAAAAACCCCGCAGTTCATATCAGAATGCGATGGTGTAGACGATTTCCAAGAAATTAAACATTGAAGTGGAAGACTTTTTTTAAAGACCACTACTCGAGCATCCGAAATTCGGCCATGCAGCAAAACATTTGCACACTTCAAATGTCAGTCGTCCATAGAAACATCACAGAAGTATCATCAGAGATAGTGATGCTCAGAATTACTACTCTAAAGAAGACAAGTACAACGTAGACATTTGGATACATCCTGGCTATGTCAACGCTAAAGATTTCGTCGATGTTCAAAGAAACCGTGTGTCAATAGATGCTTTTAACATACAGATTTTTTACTACGAAAAAATATCAAAGCGAAGAATTTTTTACCAAAAAAATATCGAAGCGAAACAGATAGCTCTGATCAAAGCAATCATATTTCTGATCATTGAAGAGAAACTGTTCGAGAGCAATAGATGAGAAAAACGGGGTAGAGAAGTCCCACAAAGGACGGCGATGATTATCGTAATAGGGAAAGGATTGTGGGAGGAAAGAAAGAACTGAGAGAGTACCCATTGATATAAAGTGATGAAAACCTTCGCGTTAAGCGCGGCTCGATCACACACCTCACTCTATTCGGGAGCGCGTGCTTCAACCTGTTACACTACTGACGCCCATTTTGCTCACCCACTCCTTCCACGCTACAACGCATCTATCTGTTAGCCACCAACCATCAATGGCCTAGTCATGTAGTCGTTCTATGGACATTGAACCCGGTCACGCTGACAGATATTGGTATTAAATGATCAAATATAATTCCATTCTTTTTTATTGAACCGCCTCTAGCGTTGGTATGATGTTTCAAATGTACCATTATGGCTGTTGACGACTGGTGGTGACAGATAGAAGCGTTGTAGCGTAGAAAGAGTGGTGAGAAAACGGGCGTTAGTAGTGCATTGGATTGGAACACGCGCTCTCGGACAGAGTGAGATGTGGGTTCGAGTCCCAGCTAGCGCGAAAGTTTTGCACATCACTCTACATCAGTGGGTACATTTGAAGCATCATGCCATCGCTAGAAACGGTTCAGTAAGAAAAGAAAGGAATTATATTTGATCACTGAAAAAGTATTTTCCGTTCATTTTAAAAAAACAATATCCTGTAACAGACTATTACACTCTCGTTTGGGTAGGATTTTCTCTCCTTGGAGACACGAAGTAATCAATCAAGCTAGTGCTTTTCCACTGTAGTCACCACATGCTTTCAATAGTCTTTATGCACTGCATGGGTGTCTTCCTCAAAATGTATCTTTTCTTAAAAAATCGATGATTTCCGGCATTGGATGTCCGTCATCACATCTAGCTTAACTTATCACGGAATTTATGAAGTCCTTATCTACACTGATCGTGCCAACGGTGACAGTAGATAAAGCTCTAACTTTACACATTGACGTCCGACTCTCTGAAAAACCGCATTGATACTATGAAGCGGTAAGCCACTCAACAGAAAATATATAGTGAAAAGTCGAACCAGAATTTTGGGATTATGGAGAAAAATGATAAGACTCAAGTCCTCTGAAGAAAAATTAGTGAATCTGAGCTTACAAAGTCAGTAGCTGGGTTCCCGAAAAATTCACAAGGAATCTGACATAACATCTCCATGTAGTTTTTTTTTGTCTCATAGCGGTTATTTTTCTATTTCTGTTCCGCATATTCGCAATGCCAAATTTAGTTGATGGTAACGATGACTCTAGAAGAAAAAAACAGAGAGAAAACTTATGAAGTGTCAAGCAAGTGCTCGTGTATAATCGTCTGCTTCACGCTTAAAGTTTGAAGTTTACTCTGTTAGTGGTAGAATAATAACAACGAGCATATGGTGAAGTAATCTATCCAAGTACTTTTTCAAATAATTGTATATCTATATTACGCATTATTCTATTACTATTACTATATTACTACAATTACTGTTATTGTTGTCGATTGTTCTATTAATTTCTCTATCACGCATTATTTCTTCACGTAGCCAGACAAAATCTCTTCATGTAGCTTTCTTTTCCCAATGCGAAATAAAGAACTTTGGAAAAAAAAACCGCTCTAAGCGGAGCAAATCTTTGAATTATTGCTAGAAGAGATGTTTGGCGAATCAATTTCAACCGCTTTGTATTTCGAAATGTACTAAACACGAGTAATGATAATTTTTCATTCAAGGCATGAAATTACATGTTTCTAGGCTAAGATGCCTTTGCAAATTTTCGCCAAAGTTCTTCTCTTCTTTAGATAGGTAATTTTCATGTTCGGTACAAATTCGGATTTCCGTAAGTAAATAAGTATTTGATACAAATTCATAATTTTTACTATTTTGCACCTAATTTTTTCCAATGACATGACGCTGTAAGAAATATAATATAGGAGTGTTGAGATAAGGGCAACGTCTGGAACCTGGGGATCACATCAGGTAACCATGGATTGAAAACCATTTTAAGTTGATTCGTTCATATTCTCAGCATTCTTGCGGCTACAATTTCCAAATTAGTCCTGTGACAGAGGAGAAGAAATTAGAGAAGTACTTAAGACGCTACCGAAACCACGGAGCAAAAAAGTTCTGAAAACTTAGTAGAAGTTTTGGAGCGCATTAGTAGTATTTGCAGCATTCAAAGCAATTAGCAAGTATTTCAACGCTTTACGAGTGTTCAAGCCTTGACTTCACCTTCACCACAGCAGCTTTGTCAATGGCTTCTTAAAATCGTCGAATGAAAATTACCACAACTATTAGATGCATTAAGTAGGACCTAAATAGATTAAGATGACATGACACGACGGAGACAATTTATTTTCTAATTTTTCAGAGCGTCACAAACAGCCAATCAGTTTCACTTTGTGATCCTTCCCTGTACGAGGAGATGACAGCAATCATACCTAATAAAAAAATAAGTATTAGTTCTATACCCCCATTTGTACTCATTACCCCAAAAAATTTGTGATTTTCATAATTTCTTCGTGAACATGCATAGTTCCCTCAGAGTACAAGGTTTGTAGTTAGGTAAGGTTTGTTCAGAAAACGCTACCATGGTGAAAGATTTCTATTCATAAGGCTGAAAATTTTTCTCTTGTAAACAACAATTAAAGACTGACTGCTCGTGGTGAAAGATTGTAAGTGCTCCTGAATGACATCGGATTCTGGGAGAGGAGAAACAAGCTCAACTAGTACTCAATATGTCAGTGAGGATAAATGGAGAAAGGTGCTCAGAAAAAGCCGAATCCACACACGAACACAACTGCTTCTAAGCACGACGGATGCAAAACAGCGCAATAAGTAGATTAAATGCTAAATATATTTTATAAAGGCATGTCATTAAAATGTTAGTGAAACATTTAGACTAGATGAATGGAACGTTAGCATCTAAATCTAAATACATTGACAATAGAATATCATATGCGATTCTTCAAAGATGGAAATATTGACTGTGCATATGAAATTTCCTGAGGACAGCCTCCGAAACGAGAGCTGTCAGTATATTGGGCCTTTTTTTTATCAGTATGATTAATAACAGCAGCACTAAATAGTTTCACAGATAGGGTCGGCTTGTTGAACCTCTTTTCAAGTGGATGACAGCATAATTACAGAATGATGACAATGATATTTCTGTATTACAGATGCTGGAAAGCTCTCTAAGAACTTTTGCTCTGAAGAAAGAGGGATGTCACGCGTGTCACGGCTTTAAAGAGTCTCGATCGAATGGGTGAGATTGAGAACAAGTCCTTGGCTGCGATTCGGTGAAAATTCAATGACTACCGTGTTCAGGCGAATATGAGCTATCACTGTGAAGCCACATATATTTAGGCGACTAATATACTAAGGAAAAATATAAAAAAATTCAGAACTTTCTGGATATTTCGATCCTTAAAAACACGCAATTTCATCGTATCTTCTTAATTCGTACGATTTTCTTTCTCGATGTAAAAACGTTCCGAATTTCGTTGAGCCATTCATCATCACGTAGTGGTATTTGACTAGATCTCATGCCAGAACAAATCGAGCTCTCCGTCTTTCCATGGTCTGCTAATTGGTAACAGAGACTTACATGGAAGAATAAAAGTACTGACTTGATGGATTAAAAAGCGCCCGCAAGTCTTTTTTTCATTGGACAAACGCGCATTCAATAACCTCTGCTATGCTACGACTGGAGTCTAATGCATAACGAATTCTCAGAGAATGCTAAACACTTTATCCTTCATGTTTTTAGTTCAGTACCAATAGTTATTATCCTAGCCCAACCTGAAAGAATAACAACGCATACACAACATGAAATAGCCAATCGATTGTATAAAAAAGCACTTATGTATGTATAACTTTTTGGGCCAGTTCAGGGCATTGCACTGCACGCGGTGAGCGCACAGCATGAAGTTCAACGACAGGCGTCAACGAATGGCGAACGGCTCCAAGTGAAGTCCTATCATTATCCGAAGACTAATTTTCGTTCTGAAATTACGTGAATAGCTTCCCGGACTTGAAATCAAAAAGCTGTCAAGTCCCATTTCTGGTAGAGCATGAGAAGTTTACCAAGCTCTTTTACACTGATGCCGATCTAAATAAATAGGGAAAGTTCCCATCATAGCATTGGTTTCATTTTGTTTAACTTCGACAACCTAACATGGTCTGCGCTTTGTACAACATTTTTTCGAGACCAATTCATAAATGTTTCTTCTTTCCCAAAAAAAAAAGCACTAGCTTTGCACTAGATTTTTTGTTTAAAGCAGAGAATTATTGCGCCCTTTCATAGAATAATCGCTTTCTCAAGGGTGAGATAATTTTTTCATAGAACCGCATAATTTTTCTGAAATGATCCAACATGGGTATTTCATCCTCAGTGAATGGAAGAAATACTTAATGGTTGAGCGTTTCAAATTTCCGCAAACTATATAATTTTTATCTAAAAAAACATATTTCATCGAAAAATTACTTTCCGTTACCCGAAAATTTAATTCGCAGTATATCAAAACTAACGACTTTATGAAACGACTTGAGATTAAAGCACAAATCAAAGTGGCCCCAAAGGAATTTCCATCAAAATTTTCCCATGAAAAAAAGGGTAAAAGTATGATATGTTTGCCCCTTCTTTTCTTGCCACTAAACTTTATTACGTTTATTAAACTTGCCACGAAATGGATAGCAAGTAGGTGCATCGTTCAATGACATTAAGAATATAATTTGAAAGAACTCGATTGACAAAAATGTAAAATAGTAAATACAACAGTAATGAAAAAATTACGACACTTGCGTTACTTAGGAACAGGCTCTAGTTTGTAATAATAGATAAATAACAACATTTTGTTCGCAATGGTCTCTTAATAACAGCAAAGAAATACACTGGAGGAATATTTAAAGAGTCACGGGCTTGGAACATTTTCCTAGGAATCATATTTCCGCTTTTTTTTCTTTTCCAATTAACATAGAGGGAATGAGAACTGTCCGCATAACTGCAAAATGTCAAAATCTTCTCATACGAATTTGAAGAGAATGATTTCACGATAGCCGAAGCCAATCAAGTGAACAATGGAGGAAATAGAAAAAAAAACATAAAAGATTACGGAGAAGAATGAGGAAATCGTCAGTGAAGATGTGCATGATTAGGTGTGAAACGTAGCCACAAGAGTGTTGAAATACGAGCAAAACACGGAATCTGACGTGGGTTTTTATCTCAGCTCTTTTGGCTTTATTCCACACCGTACCCTATCAGTGAGGGATAAATGAAGGTGAAAGTCATGTTGTTAGAGTCTTGAGTGGTAAGAAGTAATGAAAAACAAGAAGAGGAATGAGAACGAAAGGCAACATGTAAAGTGGAAGAAAATTGGAATTTCCGTGTTTGAATGAGGTGCTAAAATTCAGAAAAAACCTTGTGTCGATTGCGTAATAGAGTTGGTTGTACTAAGTCAATAAATATTTCAAAATTAACGGAAAATGGTGAAATTGAAGGCAAAGTACAAGAATTTTCATAAATTCTGTAGATACCTATCAAAATA